GATGCGGATGTAGTCCCCGAAACACAACACCTCAATATCCCTGGAACTGAAGCGCACGATATAGACGACGAAGAGGAACTCAACTCACTCCATTCCTATTCAGGGTCCGAACCGGACTTAGATCCCGACTATGACTTCGATGAAGATGAAGAGACATTATCTAAGCCTCCGGCTAGAAGTAAGAGTTTCTCCGAGAGAATGAAGGAGGCGATTGAGGCGGATAAACCGCAGGGGCGGGTGAAAGATCAGGAAGTGAGTGATGAAAAGGAGAAGAAGAGGAAAGAGAAGACGAAGGAGAAGACTCAGACTCAGCCGCGTGCTAGGAAGGTTAATCCGGCGGCGCATGCTAATTATCGGTCTTTGAAGTTGCGGAATAGAGGGAGTAAGGGGAGGTATGGGGGAAGGTTTGGGAGGAGGTAGGTAGGTGGTAAATGTGATAGATGGAGGGGGTAGGATTGATAAATCACAGTGGAGAGGATACCTAATGTTGTCCCTGTGGTGTCTTGTCTGCGCGGGACATGATATGAGCAATGACTATAGCATAAGTATATAATTCTTGTTGAGATACCATGTCAGTTGAACTATATATCAAGTCGAGGCGTCTATATGTCTATTATAGTACATAACACACAACACAAATACCCCGAGCTGTATTTACAGCTCAATCAGGAACATACCGATCCCGAGCATACTGCACCCGTCTCGCCTGAGCCACAGCATCGCGAGACGACCTACCCCCTCTCCTAGAATACGACGGTTTATTCACTCGTCCAGAAGAACCAGGGAACCTCGGCCCCCTATCACCCCGATACACCGGCGTAGCAGTCCTACTACTCTCCTCCCTCTCCCTCCGCGAGTCCGAAGGACGAGCATTACCACCCCCAGCACCACCACCCACAGCATCCTCATACTGAACATTCCGATCCCAATCCTCCAGAGAAACATACGGACTCCTCAACCAAGCCTGCAACTCATGCAAAAACAGCCGGGCATTATCCCTACCGAGAAAATCCCGTAACAATTCCTCCGCCTGCCCCGCACTACCCTTGATATCCACAGTCCGTAGGATAGCAATGATGTACTCGAGCAGAAACTCTGCGTTATTGCCGCGCCGGCTTTCGAGTCTCTGTTGGCCGGGCCGCGCAACCTCTCCTCCTCCTCCGCCTTGTCGTTGGTCCTCTGGCTCTGGGTTGAGGAACTCGAAGACTTGCAGTTCCCGGCGAATCCATTTCCGGGCTCGCGAGACGAGGTCCTCTTCGCGGTTGAAGCGCTCGGGCGTCAGTTCGCGGTATTGGGAGAGACGGTTGGAGCCGACGCGGAGGGAGTAGAGTTGGTGGCGGTAGATGTGTTGTCGGCGGCGGAGGGGGTCGGTGGACGACTGTTGTTGTTGTTGGGGACGGGGGCTGCGCGGACGACGGAATCGGCGGGGTGGGCGGTGCTGTGAGGGTGTTGGTATGTGTGAGGTGGTTGTGGTGTCGCTTGTGCTTGCTGGGAGTTGGTAGATCTTGGGTCCGTTGGTGTTGTCGAGGTTGTACTTTACGGATGTGATCTCACTCTTGCCTGTATCGAGTCAGTATGCTTCTGGGGAAGACTAGTGGGGATACATACATAGCGGACAGTTGCGACGCTGTTCCAGCCAGCTCACCAAACACAGAAAGTCAAAGTTCGCATGGCGACATGGCACCGCGATGGCGGCTTCGGAGATGGGTTCGAGACAGATCACGCACGGGTTAGCGTCGTGCTCGCCTTCATCGTGCGCTACCTCTTGCAGAGTTCGCTGGAGAATTTCCTGTTGCAGGTCGACATCATCGGACATGAGATCGACACCCGACCACTTGTTGGAAGCTTGAGGACGGGTTGATGGGTGTCATGGAGCGATAAGTTGAAGCAGTCGCATTGCGGCGTATCGCTGACCGCCTGGGACGTCATTCCTGGCGTGACCGCCTTTACTGTGGGCTTCACCGCCAGAATGTAGTGGTTTCTGTCGGCAGAATGAGTAGGGGAGACGGTAGTGCTTCTGTGGCAAAACAGGTATTCACTGCGGATTACTAAATGCCACGGAGTTATTTATCGCCACGGGTGTACTACTGTGTAACTTCAGCAGTGTCTAGAATATGAGATAGACTTGAACTCAAAATAAATAGAAATGAAAGCTCAATTTATGTAGGTAGACTTGCTATCAGTGCATTGATCAAATGAAATAATAGTTATATTTTTTTTAACTTCATACTATATCAGTAGCTTTAGGTTGTTGATGTCCTTTCTTCGAGTACTGTGGCCAACCGTGTGGTTAGTGTAACAATTCCGTGTCATTCGGCCGGAGGGAAACTGGGTGCTGGCGTCCACCGTATCACAACTCTCGCGGCCGCATACATTGGCGAAATCTCCGCAAAACTCACCTCAGTCGCAAGCTGTAGCCAAAGAAAAGTCCTACTTCTATGTAGAGACATGCACTAACGATACACTGCTGATTGCTATGATTAATGAACAATGAGATCTGCGAAGGCTGTAGTCACTGAAAACGCAGCCGCCGCCATGCGTGTCCAGGCTCACAGCGCTCCGGCGCGAACCATCACAAGCCTAAGGCGATGGTCCATAGCGAACAGAGAGCTGCCAGGTAAGCTAGCCCTGCGCGATAACTATTGTTGTACTGACGGTCTTTATCTTTGAAATCAGCGGTATCCCATATCCGATCTATTCACGTCTACGACTTTGATAATACTTGTAAGAATGATCGGTGGTGCCGGCGAACGACAGCGTCAAATTAACGCCGTCTAGTGTTCTTGAGTCCTCTTCCAAACCCACAGCTATGGAACGGTCCGACCATCGGATTTCTGCAGGCCTACGAGAGCTTCGCGAATGGAGGCTGGTGGCACGATCCGAACTTGCTGGCCGCGACCGGGGACGGTATCGATAAGGAAGAGCCACGAGCTTGGGAGGGATGGTGGAACGAACAGATTGTGCGGCATAAGTGATTGTGACTGGCGTGGCTGGCAGAGAACTGACCTGTTACAGGTCCAATTGGTCAAGCTGAGTATGGAGCAGAAAGACGCCCTCACGGTGCTTCTGACAGGCCGCGGCGAGAGTAATTTCTCCGATCTTGTCCGGCGTATGGTGGACAGTAAGAAACTGGAGTTTGATCTCATATGCCTTAAGCCAGAAGTTGGTCCGAGGAGCCAGCGATTCTCCACTACTATGGAGTTCAAGCAAACTTTCTTGGAAGACCTTGTTCTCACTTACGACCAGGCCGAAGAGATTCGCGTTTATGAAGATCGCGTGAAGCAGTGCGTGTTCGCTAATACCTTTTTTTTATGACACACTTCTGATGTTCTGCCAGTGTGAAAGCTTTTCGGGATTATTTCGAGCAACTAAACCGCAGGTTCCAGGCACCAAATAGTGGAAGAAGGCCAATCGGCTCTGAAGTCATTCAGGTCGCCGAAGGATCAATGTACCTTGCCCCTGTAATGGAGACTGCTGAAGTGCAGCGGATGATCAACTCTCATAACCTTACTATCCGCAATCCGTCGCTCAACCGGGCCAAATCGCCTTACGGCAAGCTTCGCATCAAGCGGACTATTTTCTACACTGGTTATTTGATCTCCAATGCTGATTCTGGTCGGCTAATCCGCCAGATTCTGAACCCCATGCTGCCATTTGGGCATGCTGATTCTAATGATCTGAAGTACATGGCCAACAGTATACTAATCACTCCTCGCCCAGCCCCCAGGTCTATTCTTGATAAGGTCGGTGGCATCGGTAAGAAACTGAGCTGGCAGGTTACTGGTACTGCATGCTTTGAGAACCGCGTCTGGGCTGCACGCTTGACGCCTGTGCCAGCCACAGAGAAATACTACACAGAGAACCCCCACCCCGTGGTAGTGCTGGCGGTGCGCAAAGGCGCTCGTCCGATTGACGCGGGTAAGATCCAGAATTGGCATCCTGTCCCTGCCGACAAGGCCTTGACTTTCGAGACGGTCGTCGGAGAGAAAGTTGTCCTACGTGTTGAGGAAGAGAACCCCAATGAGGGCGAATGGGAGAGTCAGTTCTTGAATAAAAACCACAAGAGGCGTCATCAGCAGGAGCGGGATGAAGAAATCCTGTATCCAGATGGAACTCAGGATGGGCCGCCCCATAGCAGGCCGCACTATAACCCGCGGTATGGAGGCAACAACCGCAATCATCACGATGATGGACCTAGACGGGGTGGTTCATACCGTGGCCGCGGCCGTGGGTCATCACAGCGAGGCAGAGGCCATCAAAACCGGGGTGGCACCCGTGGTCGAGGCCGTGGTCGCGATGCCGGACCTCCAGGAGGGTATCGGTCCTTGGATGACTATGGTGGTGGGTACGATGGGAATCACTACGAGGAGAAACCAGGACCAGGCGGGGGCCCGGTGATGAACTATTAGTTTTGGCTTTTATCAAGCTAACAGCGGTGTCCTGGGTTGTTCATTTCATGTTTACTTGTTGCATACTGCTATTAAATGATATCCTCAAATGACACACTACCACCAAGGTTATGTACCGCAATTGTTCATCCGACCAATCTGCTGCATGATGCAGGGGCCTACGAAAAATGATACAGACTAGTTGATAGATACCACATGAGATTCAAGTTGATATCATTACAAATTCTCAGCGTAACCTTTATTACCTCCACCGTCCCTACCATTTCATACTATATGCCAGAGAAAATACGTTACTGCTATCAGTGGAAAATCCCTTTCATTCTCCCTCTAGAATGCCCTCAACAGGTATGATCACGCGGTCGATGAGAATGTTCTACTTCATGGAAAAGTGTGCAGCTGTATCTAAGGAAGCTTGAGCTTAGGGAAAGGGGGGTATAAGTAACCCTAAAGAACCGTTCAATTGCAAAATCGTAGATTCGAAATTCAGCTGGCAGTCTGTAGCTAAGAAGAATAACTAATGTGACCAAATCATTCTGTGTAAGAATCAACCCTAACATCGTGAAAATCATAGCGTCATAGTAGTTTCAGTTTTCAGGCGGCGCCTAAGCCAGCCGGAGGCGCAGCAGGGACCACAGTCCCAGGATTGTAAGCTCTACCCGACTTCCGTTCAATCCAGGCATAGCGCTGCTTGTTTTCCGGTGTAGCCTCATCTTCCAATGTCCGCCTATCCCAATTGCCTGATGTATCCCATGTTTCCTCATCGTCTGGTGTACCCCCTGCAGCCCCATTGCCCGGTGCACCCTGATCACCTCTGCTTTCTGTCCCATTCAAGTATTTCTCGAATTCATCAACATCCACGTGCAATCTGCACTGTGCCTTTTGACAAAGATTTCCCGTATCAATGCGTCCTCCTGATGTTAACTCGCTCATGGACAGAATCGACTCAAGGGAACGAGCACCATGTAGGACTCTGGGAGTGAACAACAGTGCATTGAGGACACCAGGATGTATGTCAATTGACTTTCCTTTAGTGAACCCGAAAATCCTCTCAAGCATGCTTCGAAGCAGAATCGCTCGTCGGATGGGGAAATAGTCTCTGTCGGCTTCCTTTTCACTTTCATCCTCGTTCAACAAGATGCTTGGTCCGAGAATGTCTACATGTCCTTTCAGGGCACTTTTGAAAGTCTCCTTGGTGTCCCCTCGACATTCCCGGAACAAACCAATCGAAAGTGGCTTGTTTGACTTGTCGCGCTGAAGATACCAGGTGAGAATGTTCTTGAGAGGCCTAAAACGTTGAATTTCCGCATCTGCGGGAATTTGGGCCTGTGCGGGAGTTTGGATCTGTGCGGGAATTTGGATCTGCCCTCGGAGTCTGCTCACGAAGTCCGGTAGTTTCGCACCTGGAAATAAGTGTGAGTGCAGTTTTGCTACAGGGAATCCGTTGAAGTGGGTTGACCCCTGTTCAAAGACGAATATGGCACGCCCGAGGAGATGTCGGCTGCCGTGGTCGAAGAATTCGCCGTCTTGCATCGGAGCAAGGAAGTATTTCAGCCATCCCAACTTCTCGCTGCCAAAATCACAGTCGAAGTCTCTGAAGAAGACCAGTGGGATATTTTTCTCTAGCGTCGCGTCCCGGATTTCGTAGAACTTTCTTTTCAACTGGTCATATTGAGATATCCCGGAGATGTTTACGGTTATGGTTTTCAGCGTTGGTGTAAATCCATTGCGAGTTCGAGGGATAGTTTCAAGGAATTTCCCGAGTGCAATTTCCGATTGCTCGAAACTGATGATTCCCCCGGGACTTCCTCCGGCGCCGCCGCCATTTTCTAAGGCCCGGAAGAAGTCGTCATATCTTGTCTTAGTGCCTCCGATGAAGATGTAGATGCCACGTCCCAGTGGTCGTTCGATCCCACCGTCCTCGTATTTACCCTCTGTGATGGGTTTGATGAAATGCGACAACCACCCCAGCTCTTTTCCTTCAAAGGTCGAGTCAAATTCATCGAAGAATACAACGGGAATCTGTTCGGAGAGCGTCTTATCCCGGATGACTTCGAATGCGTGTCTGAGGTCATCCTCTTGGCGAAACTGCGAAAGATTGAATTCTAAATCTGTAATACCCTTTCCATCGGCAGCCAGTATGGACTTGATGACCTCCTTCACTCCAAAGGATTTTCCAGACCCTGGCTGTCCGAATACAGCAAGGGTTAAAGGTATGGCGTTTGTGTTGGTTGTGTACCATTCATGGACCTTGTTGGCAATTCTTCGAAAGCCATCGACTTCCCCCCGATCAGCCGTCACCAAGTTGCCGAATCGGGCACTGGGCATATATGGCAGTACACACTCAAATCCCTGTTTCAACGTATCCACGGCGGCCTTTTTGGGGGTGCATGGCAGACTTCTAAGGACCAATGGTTCTCTGGAAGTCGTCTGAGAATCTCTCAAATCAAGCTCCACCGACACCAACACCGGTTCTGAGTCAGTTTCAAGCTTCAAGCGGTTGTCGGCGGGCTGGGATTGCTTGGCCTTTCTTTTTGGGAACATCATCGGGGCACAGCGACGAGACCACCTGATCCCAGTCATTATTGCGTCTCTGATCTGCGTTATGCCGAGATTCTCAATGGATTCGGTGGATTCTTCTTCCAGAGAGGACTTCAGGCTTTCCATCCAGACATCCCCCACATCTTTCCTCAGCTGTTTCCTCAGCTTCTCCCATAGCTTTTCCCTCAGCTTTTCCTTCGCGTTTGGAACTTTCTTCAGCTCTCTTTTCAGATCATCCCTCAGCGTTTCTATTACCTGTTCTATACCCGAATTCTTCATCAGCTCTTTCACCTCTTGCCCCTGGTCCACCTCTTCCTCCTGGTTTCCGAGAATCTTCAGGTCCCCCTGGATTTCGAGATTTTCTCTATTAGGCACGTTGACTTGGAGGCCTTCCCTACTGACTCTGAGCTTTTCCATATCTTTATCCGAGTAAGAGCGAAGAAAACCGCCTTTGGCGCTGGTTGGCTCGTAGATGAGATGGACCTTGGTTGCGTCCTCTTGGAAGCCCTTGTAGATCGCGCCCTCCAAACCGAGCTGGACGAGAAGGTGGAAATAGTTGTTCCCGAAGGTCTCCTCTTTGTTGGCTCCAATTACTCTTGATTCCTGCCATATCGAGTTGCAACGCTCTTTCAGCACATGATTCCAGATATTCTCGACCGTTTGGCCCCAGGACAGGCGGCGGTCTATAGCCGTCGAATCTGGTAGGTCTTCCGCATCAAAGACAAGCAGAACATGCTTCTTTTTATCTTTAGCCTCCGCTGCGAGTGATTTGTACTTCTCAATGCTATCCCAGCTTTCCCAGTTCAAATTACCCATGACAGCCTTCGCCTCTTCCTGCTGGATCTTCCTCCTTAATTCTTCTGGCGTAGTGAGCTTCCAATTAACGACGCTTGAAGCCGCCTCCGAATCATTCGAATCCAATCCCAGCAATGTACGAAGCTTTGAGTCTTCAACAGGTTTCTCACTATCCTCGCATCCGACACCGAATACCAGTGTACCCTTATAATACTGATTTCTTGAGTTCATATGGTCAGCGGCAGCGTGAACCTGGATACAATCACCGTCCTATAGTCCAAGTCAGTTCACTTACGACCGAAAAAGGTCAAATCCAGTTAGACTTCACCTTCAAGGATTTCAATATATCGCTATGTCTGGTGAAGACTCTTCCTTTGTGCTAAGTAAAGATTAATAAGCTGCAGTCATCGTGCGTTAGGGAACTGTTCGTTGCATACATATTCGTTGCCATTCGTCTTGAACCTGTTCTCATGACTCATCCAGCGAAGATTATCCAACTCCCCGCCGTCTTTTTGGATCGACAGTTCGAACCATGACCGGTTTGCTCCGGCGACGGTAGATCCACCATCGTTGGAAGAGGTCACAAGCTGAATGCTGTTGAGACGCTTCAGAAGGGAGCCACTGAGTGCCTGGTTAGGTTATGACAGATTAGACATTTGAGTCAATATCACGGGCACAATGGGGCTTACCTTTGACGTGAACCATCTCTTAGTCTGAGCTCCTGCCACAGAATCCCCTTGATCACCACCGTCACCTTTGTCGTAATAAAAGCCGCATAAGCCAGTTTGCCCATTCTGTTGGGGGAGGGGTTGAGGGTCATTGACAGCGGCCATTTTGCTCCTGCGTGCTATCTAGTTCGTTATTCTTGACCTGTGCTGTCTGGGTCTGTTCTTTGAATTCTGGTCCCGTCTGAGCAGACACGAAAGGGGCTTTTATGTCTTTTTTAAATCTTCTACCGGCATGAATGTTCAACATGTCGTGACGTCACATCCATGAAGTCTCACGACGCTGCGATGCAACTCATCAGCGGGTGACGTGCTACAGTCTTTCTCATATTGGAAATGAAGTCATGCAAGGGTTCAGAGTCGAGACCAGTAGCTATATCCGACGGATTCAGCTGTCGACAGCCCCAGGTCTTTCCGTCGGATATACGGCTCTATATTCGGCATTACGGCTGTGACCCCGGCCGAGATGGACGTTCGCCTGTTAAGACTTGCTTTAGAGTTCATTGACCAGAGGATCGCTCTAATAGCTGCAGATTTGCCACTGCATCTTGTTCTTATAAAGTAACTATGTCTCCGCTGATGTATCGTGGTGATATAGAATCAGTGTGTTTGCTTTTCTCTTGGCCCACCGAGATCGACTAGCCCTCCCACGTCATGGAAACTATTCGAGACTCAGCATTTGGGAAGCTAGTACGCATCTTCAGCAGGAAGAGATGGCTACGTTACCCTGAAGAGAATGACACGGGCATGTGGACCGAGTACCTGAAGACGGAGAAACAGGTCAAAGATGAAGAAGCTGCAGCTTCTGAAAGCGATCAGGAAAACCTAGGCCTCTATACTGTTCTTTCGCAGGCGTCCAGAGCATCACGTCGCCTATCAACCGCGTCGACAGCTAGGCATGACGGGGCAGAAGGAGCGCATCCAGATTCCAATGCATCACTTGTCATTGACTGGAGCGGGCCGGATGATCCTGAGGTAGGTATAAATCATATGCACTGTCTCCGCCTGCATCCGATAGCTTGGTTACGTGCTGACAGGCATATAGAATCCGCAGAACTGGAGCACATTCAAGAAGCTGTTTGTGAGCAGCTTGATCTGGCTTCTGACTTTCGCTATCTATATCGGATCTGCGATATACACCCCTGGCATCCCCGGCGTCAGTGAGCAGTTCGGAGTGAGCAGTGTGGCTGCCACGTTGGGGCTGACCCTGTTCGTGTTGGGATATGGCTTGGGTATGTGCTAGCAGAATCTGATACAACCACCCTCCAAAAATTGGTATATTGGTAACTAACAGCATAACAGGCCCAATGGTCTGGTCTCCCCTATCAGAACTACCTCCCGTCGGTCGAAGCCCTACGTACGTCCTTACACTGTTCGTCTTCGTCTTCTTCCAATTTGCCGTCATCTACGCCACAAACTTCGGAATGCTTCTAGCCTTTCGATTCCTTACTGGCTTCATTGGATCCCCAGCTCTAGCCACTGGCGCCGCATCCATGGGTGATATCTGGAATCCGAAGATGCGCGACTACATGATCATCATATGGGGAGCGTTCGCCATCTCTGCCCCAGTCCTAGGACCCCTGGTAGGCGGATTCGCAGCACAAGCAGAAGGATGGAAATGGACCATATGGCAGCTCCTCTGGGTCTCCGGCTTTGCGTTTGTTCTCCTATTCTTCTTCCTCCCAGAGACATTTGCACCCAACATCCTCTACCGGCGAGCTCGTCGCGTCCGCCAAATCACCGGCAACTCCAACTACCGCTGCGAAGCCGAGATCGAGGTCGCCAACATGAGAAAAATGGTAAGCTCTCGCCGTCCTCCCCTGAATTTTCTACAATCAGACCACCCTCACTAACATCCACCCCTCACACAGGACATAATCTTCGAAGCCCTCGTCCGCCCCTTCGAACTCTGCTTCTTCGAACCCATCGTCCTAATCATGAACCTCTACATCGCCCTCATCTACGGCATCCTCTACATCTGGTTCGAAGCCTTCCCCATAATCTTCAGCGAAATCCACGGCTTCAACACCGGCCAAAGCGGCCTCGCCTTCCTCGGCATCCTAATCTCCACCTGCGCCATCACCATCCCCTGCTACTTCTGGTGGAAATGGAAATACCAAGCCAAACACTTCGACGAGAACTGGAACATCACACCGGAACGACAGCTGCCCCCAGCCTGCGTCGGATGCTTCGCTCTCCCCATCTCCCTCTTCTGGTTCGGCTGGACGGGCCAATTCGTCTCCGTGCATTGGATCGTGCCCATCATTGCGTCGATGTTCTTCGCCGTCGGTGGGTGTCTTATTTTCAATTGCATTTTCTGTTACCAGGCGCATGCGTATCCGAAGTATGCGGCGTCGGTGCTGGCGGGCAATGATTTCTTGAGATCGTCGTTTGGTGCGGGGTTTCCGTTGTTTGCTTCCGCTATGTTTCATAATTTGGGGGTTGGGTGGGCGTGTACGTTGCTCGGGTGTTTGTGTGTGCTTTTTGTGCCGTTTCCGTTTGTGTTGTTGAAGTTTGGGAGGAGGTTGAGGATGGCGAGTAAGTATGCGAGACATGATATTTGAGGGGTGGGGTTGGTGTGATTGTTATGTATAGGGTTGTTTTGTCTGCTCATAATGGTTATGATTTGATGGTTTTCCATACAGCGCGTTGTATAAAAGTATTTCGTATATCATAACACCCCGAGGATAATGGAAATGATATGTGCATATTTGTATCTTGTGCATATTGTATATCGTGTATTGTGCATTGCATTTGCATTTGCAGTTACTTACATCTAACTAGACTAAGAAACTTAAAATCAATCGTGCAACTAATCGCGGGAACCTTATCATCTTTTATACATGCTCAATCATCAATACTAACCATAATAACGAGAACCATCCATGAGCGAAATCCCAGGCAAAATCGACAGAATGTACATAAAATAAGAAAGGACAACGGGGAATATTTGGCAGTGATTCAATCAATCATTTGGTTTTCGACATGTAGTGAATATAATCTTTGTTCATCCGGGCGAGACACTTAAAAACAGACGGTCTCAAATATGTTATCATGGTGATGGTGATGACAATAATGCTCATTATGCATTTCTTCATAAATCCCGTATTTCCATATCCATTGTAGTCCATAGCAATCCATATCCGTAATCCATGTGCCGTAAAAAGATCCATAACAAAATTCAATCGTTTCGAGTTGGAAGGGTGGGTGTAGGTGTGGGTCGTGATTATTCGTTTTGCTGGGTTGGTCGTGTGTATTCGTGTCGTGTCGTTGGGGAAGGGGAATCGGGGTGTAATATGTCCGGGGGAAAGAAACCAAAACCAATCCAAGCAGATATAATGCAGCATCAAAACAAGAAAGAAAAACAGCGAAAAGAGATCATGCTAGTCCGTCAACTGCTGGATCAATTTGACGCTCAGGATCATCACTAGCAGTCCTATCGTCACGACCACCAGAAGTCCAAATCCAAACCAGCCGAGAACCATGGCAGATGTACCCACGCCACTCTTGACACTTCCGTTGCCCAGATCCTGAACTATCGTGCTGGCGGCTACGGATGCGGTGTGCTGCCATAGTACGGACACAAGGACAAAGACCGAGGCTACAAAAGTCAAGGCTAGTGCTGCTTGGGATACAGGCCGCGACGGAATCGGCCTGGCTTCGATCTCGGAACCGCTAGGGTCTAGCTCGTCATGCCATCCAGGGAAGGTGGCGAGGATGACAAAGCAGAAGAAAGCGAGAATGACGGCAAGAATTCTATATTATAACGGTTAGTCAAAACGCGTTCTTGAGGGTGGAGGGTGTGAACGTACAGAAGATATGGGAAGACGACTGCATCTTTGAACGTCGATGCTACCCAAATCAGGTTCAACGGATCTTGGTCGACTGTGACAATCTCCGCCAATGCTGTCGCATTCGAGTTGCAAATGTAGGATCCGGCGTCTGGCTGTACACAGATGCCAAAATAACCCACACGGACTTCCATCTCGGCTCCTCCCACAATATTTGCTGTTGCTGTCACTACCCCCGGATCTACCTGAGCGAGGTTGAAAGTTGGTTTGTAGCGCTCATAGTACATGGAGATCAGGAAGATGTCGGGGATCTGCGGGGAGGACGAGGAGCATCCTGCTAATAGTAACGCTGGAACAGAGTTAGTCGCATTGTTGGGAGAGTCGGGAAATGACTGCTCACATAGTAGGATGATCGCCACCGCGATGATAATCATCAGCACATGGTGGTACCCGACCAGTTGCAGAACCCCTATATATCGACAGTCAGTATCGCTAGAGAAATATCCGACATGGAGGCACGTAATGTAGACATACGGGGTAGTTTCGCTGTTAGTCCCGGCATCTAGGGCGATATGTTCTTCGTGATCCTCTTTCTGTCCAGTCCAACTCGCTTCTCGGGACTCCGAGAAGGAGTATTAAATGTCCGGTGCGGCTCACTCTGTCGGACACCACCCGACGACGAGCGGTATAGCTATTGTGGTAGGTACAGGGCCCCGAGTCGACTGTCGATAGGGTCGTAAGGTGGAGCACGCGCTTGGTGAGGGAGAGCACCGATATGGTTGGAATGGAATGTGACGGATCTCGTGGGCGATGGAGTATTGGAATGTGTCAATGCGGGAGATCGAAAGAATGGATAACTCCTTTGTCCCACGTTGGACCCTGACAGATCTAAGGGCAGTCAGAATGCAGAGAAAAAGTAACGAATCGGTCTTGTGGGTTGAGATAGATGGGTTGCAGTATGCCGAAAAGAGGCAAGTGGAATATGGGAGGGGGGAAGATGGGGAAGGGCAAGAGAGTGAAGGGGAGAGGGAGAGGGAGAAATGGCTCGTAGCTAAACGAATCCTCCGAAAACCTCGAATCGCGCAGCGGCAAGGTGGATGGCGATGGCGATGATGGTGGTGATAATCGAGGAGGCTGGGAAGGGCGTATACAACTAAGTGACGGGCGGAAGTGGCCCAATGGGGGAGGCTGGGCCACTGGTCTTTTGTTTACCGCGTTGGCCCGCCTCCCGTTCCCCGGTAACCATTCCTCACCGCCTGCTGTATTCTTATCCGTTACTGGCGCTTGTCCAGATCGGGCAGGTTGATCGTGTCCACCGATAACGCTAGCCGGATCAGATCAGCCCCACTGGCTTATCGGCACCTGATCGGTCCAGCCTCCAATTCGGAAATCAAGAATCAATTTCAATAGTACCTGCTGCTCCATCGGTACCTTGCTTAACTTTTGGATCATCTTCTAAATATATCCGCCCACAGCTGGCACTGCAGATGCTACTTTAGAGCTAATTCTAGTCTCATTCTTATCTTCACAACCCTCGCAGTAGCTGCCTCGTTACTCACTTTTCAGCGTCATACGGTACTGGATATATATATTAAAGCATCTTAGTACTATTCATCGACTAAGGGTTCTTTTTGATACCCATGAAAGTGGAGCACCAGTTGTTGCTTATTGGTACTGCTACTAGTAGTACTAGTAGTATTTTTATAATGCTACTGATACTGAAATATGTTGAACGATACTAATATCTGTTCTTAGATGCCGCGCTGCATAGAGAACCGAGCCCTTGCACGACTAGTAGCAGCTGCGTTACTCTGTCGTTCTCCATCAAGCCTCTCATTTCATCAAACTAGGTGCTGCGAGACAACATTTCCTACTTGTAAATCTCAAAGGTACTTATATATTGGGACCACTTGAATATCGAACACATGCCCAAAATCGAAGGTGCTTCCAGAGAGGACCCTACAATGACTACTTGTGTATATCTACTGGTTCAGGTCCGCGGCCACAGTAGTCAAATGCTTTATTTGAGAGGTATCTAATTATTATAATTCATCTACTGGATGTGGTATGTGTAGAGCGCTGGAAGGCTATATCAAACGCCCTGTCACGGAAGGCCTACCAATCTTTCCGGCATGGCCAAGTATAATCAAAATCTGTAAGAACCCATAACGGGAGCAGGTGTCCAAGCCTGTGTCTTCAAAACAGGGTCCTGGCGAGCGCATATAAGAGTCGATGCTATATGTATAGGAAAATCAAGTGGTGCAAGGTGAAGGCCATGAAATGAAATCCAGAGAGGGTTTTCACATCGAGGAAGAGCGAGTGTAGGTCCGGTTCCACGCATGTAAGATACTTCCGAACAATGCCAATGTCTAAGATGTAACTGCACTTCGAGAACCCAAGATTCTATTTACCCATGAACGAGAATCGTCGCACATCGAACGGGGCAAGTCCCACTGGGGCTCGGGTCTCGCCCTCGGATTCTTCATCTTCGCTATCCGGGATTATCATGTCTTCACTGCCTTGACTGGGGGTTGCCAAACTTCGCACAGGCTTGTGATCAAGCTTTGGAGCTGCAGGGCTCTTTGCCGGTGATTTGGAGGCTCTAAATGCTGCAAGGGAAGGCGAAACACAATTGAGTGATCGAGACCGAGCCAAGGCGCTTTGGCCTAGCCGTTCCAATGGCGTCGTCCGCTGACGTCTGGGAGGTGTTCCCAACAAGCCGTGCCGCACTCCGGTAGTCGCCTTGTGCTCATTCAAGGAACCTGACTGATGACCCTTACCACCAAGCTTATCATTTTGATTACCCACACCAGAAGTTCCGGCCTGAAAGACGTATTTTGAAAGCGTGGTAGAGTTTGCGACAGGCAAAAGGTTTGGTGTATAGCCGTCGCCAACATCATCCGATCTCTTCTCCGAAGCTTGTTCAGAAGTGGATGATTTCTGCTCTTGAGTTTGCTCTTTGCAGTCTTCCGCAGGGGACTCAGGAGCACCCGGCTCAGAAGTAGCTGCAGCAGGCGTTTGAATGGACCTGTCATCGATGGAGGATGAATTGACACGATTTGGAGTTTCAGTCGCTTGGCTCGGGTCTGGCAGCTGTGTCATGAGGTCTTCTGCAGAGTCATCGGAGAAGACGTCCAAGGTAGACTTGCGCGCCTTCTTGGTGCGGGTAGCCTTCTGTGCGCTTGGACTAGCATCGTTAACACTGCCGGAGAAGAATCTGCTGCGGGAATCCGGGGGATTCGGGAGGTTAGCTTCCTCTGCATCAGAACATAGTCGCTGCCGCTTAGCGGGCTGCAAATTCGATGTTCTGGAGGCATGTGCCAGGAAGGCATTACGCTCCACACTTCTAATCAAAGGGCTAGAAGCCCGGTTTGACGACCCGACTGATGACGCAGATCGCATGAGTGCTGGCCGTGATGGTGCAGGAACACTGTCCCAAGAGCTGTTCACATGGCGTTGTAGCAGCCGTTGTTGGCTGGGAGAGGGGCTGAGACTATTCGGGTCCAACTCTGCCAAGGGAACGCGCTTGGGGGTGAAGAAGGAGTTGATCGGCTTGTTTGGCTTGAGTTCAGCAGACGAGCCCAGGGTCTGTCGACGGCTTATCGTGTTGGTCAGCCTCTTATCGGCCGGCTTAGCTGCGAGCGATGGCTTTAGTACAAGACGTTCCTTTGTCGTCGGGTCGAGATCGCCACGAGCAACTCCGACCGCAACGTCAGGTTCCACGTCACCACCGATAAACGTGAGTTCTTCCAACTTGACATCAGCCTCAGGCGGTGTTAGGGTGACCAGTTTCCCAGCTTTCGGACAATATACCCTCTGATAGAGGAACGTAAGCTCCGCCTGTCTGAAGTTGTCCAGGTAATCGGAGGGAACGTGGTATTGACCGTCAAACTGAAGCATCCGCAACGCCCGTTCTACGTTCTTGTACTTCCGAATGCTTCGGTAGGCTGTCTTCAATCCTAAGCGTGCAATGTTGGGGAGATAATCGCAGCCACTGAGGATGCACATCCGTCGAAAATCGGCGTCTGTCCACCCGATCAGACTTACCTCTCGGCAGGCCGAAAAGTCAGCACGGTTGATCTCAATGCAGTCGCCATGTTGGTCGAGCTTGGATAACAACCGCTTTGCACCAAAGACGAGCAGATCAGAATCCTCTGAAATGATACCAGCAATAATGCCTTGCTGTTCCAGGTAGGCCAGTTGCGCATCTGCCTCGTACGGAGCCACAACGTATTGGACATCTATCTTCTTCAGTTCCTCTATTAACTCCCGCGCCATCAAGGGCGTCACGTCAACGGCCTTCTGCAGTTCCTGGTATGCCTCTGCGATCCGCCCTTTTCGCTGGAGTTCCAAACCGAGGGCTTTGCTGTCCTGCCGTCTCTTTTGACGCTCCACCTCGGTTCCAGCCTTGCTTGGCAGCTCATCGCCGTCGAATACAAGATATGGAGTTACCCCGAAGTAGAGGAGCATGCGGACTCGATTCAAGACGAAGTCGATGTGTCTGCGATCTTGTGAGAAAGGGATGGTGACATACAGCCTTGTTAGCTATGAACGTACTTCCTAGTAGGCCTTTCCAAAACCAAGTCCACCGCGCAGGCGACAGTGCCTCGATGTAGCCATCCATATGCATCGATTCCCAGGGTCTGCCCACTAAACTTTTTCAGGTGACATGGTTTTTGGATCGATTTGAGCAGGCCATGAAGCCCTGTATTGTGTGTAAGCAAATGCAGCACTTCGCGAGTCAAGGACAATAAGAAGCATACCTTTAATGCCCATTGTCAGCGTCCTTAGAAGACCGAATACTCCTCGTTCAGGGAAGTAGCACCGCCGAAACAGACATCAACTGGTGTCTGTTGGTGCTTAGAGGTCAATTTTGACGACGGACATGGGAATTAGAGGACATCAGTGCTCAGTAGCATGCACCAGGCCTAACCAGCACCTAAACAGTCGCGAAATGAGGATGACCCAGACAACAAGATTGGAATGTTACCTCCCTGGTCCCTCTGACGCGCAAGGAACGCGATGGGGAGGCCCCATCCATCCGCTCCCCTGATTGGTCTTGTCGAGGCGGTGCCGCCACCTTATATCACCGCCTTTAGATTCTGCCGGAGAAAAAAGAAATCCTCCGCAAAAGATGAAATTCGACTTTTGACTGTCGGATCAAAAGTTTCTCTTCATTCGTTGTGGAAGGAGCCAAGAATCCGATCAAACCATTTGCCCACCATGCCGAAGACATTCCAGAAAGTTACCAAGCATATTGCCAAGAAGAGAGGCGCTGTTGAGGCTCTCCACGAGTTTAGCAGAGATGCCAGAAGACTGCGCCGAGCCAATGCCAGAGAAGATCGAGTCGCTCGTGTCTCCGCCAATATGTCGCGGGCCAGACAGACATATGGTACGGCAATTCTCGTTGGGATTTTGTGCTTCGATGTTGCGATAACTAATGTTTCTCCTGTTTAGTGGAACGTATCGCCTATTTCCACGAGAGTGTCCCAGAAGGCCAAGCTCCGATGTCAGAGGATGAAATGAAGGACATCGTTGTCAGGTGCGCCACACTGTTCGTCAATCGCGAAAATCGCATATACTTACGATCTTCAACTATAGGTACATCAACCGCAGCGTGCCCGAGATCGAACAACTACAGAGCGAGAGACGGAAAGGCAGACCACCCAGCAAGCGCGAAGAAGCATTGTTGCAGCGAACAGACGTTGAGAATCGCGAGTTTAAGACGGGATTTTGGATGCCCGACTTTAGCGACGAGAGTGTTCTCAAAGCCCTCGCCTCGTGGAACGGAGACTGGTCTGGACTGAGCACGATGAAGTTCATTCGCATCACTAAGGATGGATCGAAACAACCTTCAGTATTCCCGCCGAAGGGCATGTCATGAGACGTAAAAAGTTCTAGTTTTCTTTCTGCGTTTTCATTTTGGGAGATCGAAGATTCGCAGTATGCGCGGAGATGGATGGCATAACGGCGTTACGATTGCACATAGAATTTTACAAAACCCGTTGAATCATTTTTTGTAGCTGTATAATGTCCATTAAAGCCTTGAGGGTAACCAGAATGCTTCTCATCACAGTATCATCCAAACCATGACTACTAGTTGTAACTTACATGATGTCGAAATGCGATGGATGGCATGAGTCCCGCTTTGCGACCCGTGATTGGTCTGGCAGTTCATTGCAGAGCTCCAGTCTTGGCGGGCGGTAACATCATCCATCATCAGCTTGTCTTCTTTTCCGATCCTTCATCATCCGTCCATTTCTTTCTCTTCTCCTGCCACTTTCCATTTTCATCCTCAATCCTTCAAAATGATGTCCCTCCGCACTATCGCTCGCTCCGTGCCTCGCACCATCTCGTGCTCTGTCGCTGTCTCTTCTCGCTCCGCCATTACCCGGCCGGTGTCCGCGGTCCCCAAGAATGCCTTCCAGTCTTCTCTGAAGCAGATTACGAGACCTTCCTATGCTGCTTTTTCGACGTCCCGCGCTTTCAAGCAGTCCCCTGCCGAAGGTAAGAATATATGAGTTATTTGCTTGTGTAGGAAAATTTCCAGAGAACAGCGATTGAATGAATCTTTGTGCTTTACTTTTCTTCTGGCAGAATGAGACAGAACCCTGTTGTTAATCGTCAATTGCGGATCTACGGAAGAATTATGCTAACATAGGACTTTCGATGATTGTAGGCGATGTTGAGCTCGTCGCCAAGCTTGAGGATGAACTGAAGCACGAGAAGGCTTCTGGCCTTGAGGACCTCGAGTCCTCCGTTCAGAACATCCAGTATGTTCTTCAGAACAACTCTTGGGAGGTACGCTCTTCGCTGGATATCCCTTAAGCCGTCGATCAAAGCTAATATACTGGTCAACAGGTCAAGGACGTCCCTGGTGAGCAGGAGGTTGTCCTGACGAAAAAGTTCGGCAACGAAGAGTAAGAACCCTTGTTACTGAGCCCCCCCCCTCTACTGTGACATTTCTTCTCACGGTTCGCTCAATCATTAGGATCCGCCTCACCTTCACTGTCGCCGACCTTCAGAACCTCAGTGAGCAGGAGGACTTCGATGATGCTGCTCTCGATGAGATGGACTTCGGTGGCCACCAGCCCGTCAACCAGGGCCGCTCTGGCAACGTCTCTCAGCACGCTGAGGACCGCGTCGCTCCCGCTGACCGCGAAGGCGATGAGTTGGACCGCGACCTTGAGCCTAGCTTCCCTGCCCGTGTCAACATCACCGTTGAGAAGCCCAGCAACGGCGCCCTCCTGATCCAGACTGTTGCTCAGGACGGCCTGTTCCAGATCGAGGAGGTCTCCTACTTCAACAAGTCCGACCTGGCCCACGCCCAGACTGCCGAGAAGGACTGGACCAGACAGAGCATGTACGCTGGTCCTCCCTTCGAGAACCTCGATGAGGACCTGCAGACCTTCCTCGAGCGCTACCTCGATGAGAGGGGCATCAACGCCGAGCTTGCCAACATGATCCCCGACTACATCCAGGTCAAGGAGCAGAAGGAGTACGTTCGCTGGCTCGAGAGTACGTGACATCCTATTAGATCCCTATGTATGATACTTGGCTAACCCTATCTATAGACGTCAAGAACTTCGTCTCCGCTTAAGCGTGGATGATGTTCTTTAAAAATTAATACGGTTATGACAATCCGTCATGAAAATATCGGAATCATGTTTCAATAATTCTGCCACTGTTTTATGCAGTGTGCTCATGTATATTAATAGTAGATGCTCAGTTGAACCTCGCAAGGTACCACTGTCAAAATGATTGATACTCCCCCTCTCTAAACCGAGACACACATAAATCACTCTAAACAATTAATCCAACCGCGTAAACCAGATCTTCTCCTTCATAGTCTTCTCCCATGCCACCCCAAGTGCGCACGGCTTCCCCTTCTCCCCAATGCGAAACTCCGCCGCATACACATCAGGAAAGAAAGCCCCCAAGTCTCCAACATGCTCGGATATAGCGAGAAAATGCTCCCCATTAACATGCTTAAAGCTCAGATACTCCGGCCAGGTCGTACGATCCCGGTCAGCGCGCAATATATTTTTCGACTGATCAAGATAGATCTCAATCGTCTGATAACCCGGATGCACATACGTCCCAATATATTCCCGTAGCTCCAACGAATGCGGAATCACATGCGCGGGAGCCTTATGAATAGCATCAAGGGCTTTCTTCCTCTCCTCTTGTATATGCGCCATATTCCTGGAAAGAAAAAATTGTTAGCATTATAATCACCCCGAGCAGAACTCTGATCCAAAACATACTTCGCATTCCAATCGAACCGCCTCTCAACCGGCACACCGAGCTTCTCATCCACCAACCGAAACGCCAGCGCCTTCTGCGCGTAATTGGACGTCCCGGCTGTGTTCGCCAACATGACAACTGCATATTTCAAACTCGGGAACAAGATTACCTCCGCCCCAAACGCATTCATGCCCCCCGTATGCTCGAAGAACTGCACGCCTTGGTACACGCCTGTGTACCAACCCAGAGCGTATGCGCGCGGGCCCGTGAACGGCGCCTCGGAGGGCAGTAAAGTCCGCGGTTCGAAGATCGCTTTGTATACGGCTGGCGATAAGGGCTCGGTTTGGTGGAGTAGTGCGCGCGCCCATTGGGCGTAGTCCAGGACGTTGCTGATGATGCTCCCGGCGCCGGAGATTTCGTCTAGTGACATCCAGGGGACTTCGCGGTAATGATTGCTGTCATTGTCATTGTCGCCGTCGCTGGGGGTATGGTAGTATCCTCGGGCCAGGTGGTGAGGGGATGCTTTGGCGTCATTGAGGTTAAAGTAGGTAGATTTCATGCCGAGGGGATGCCAGATGGTGCGGGCTAGGGTGTCGCCTAGCCATTCTCCGCCGGTGAGGGTCTCGATAACATGGGAGACGACGACGTACATGAGGTTGCAGTATTGGAGCTTGGTGCGCGGAGGGGCGGTCAATGGGAGATGGCGCAGCTGGCGCACTATTGTTCGTACGGCTTCGTCGCGGGTGAGACGGTTGCCGTAGGCTTGATCGTGACGGGGGAGGCCTGAGCGATGAGATAGGGCATCTTCGATGGTGGTGTGTTCGGTTGCGTGCTCGTCATGTAGCACGAAGTCGTCGCGGATGAGCTGGCTGATGGGCGTATCCCAGTGTACTTGGGGGAAGTTGTCGTCATCGACGATGGTGGCCATCAGGGCTGCGGTGAAGGCTTTGGTGGTGCTTCCGGCGTAGAAGAGCGTAGAGGGAGTTACGGGCTCAGCGGGGAAGGCTGCGATGCCATAGCCCTGTGTTTATCGGTTAATAATTTATTCTTGTATGTTGTCTCGATCGTTGGGGATGTATGAGACACCTGCCTTGGCCCAGGTGTTGTCTCCATCGACTACTGCGATTGAAATGCCTGGGACGTGCCAGTAGTCCAATGTTTCTTGGACGAGGGTCTCAAACCGCTCATCTAGCGGGTTGGCAGTGGTGTTGTCTGCTGCCATGTTTGCCTGGCATGATGATTGAAGCTTATGATCGAGCCAAGGTCTCTCATCTAAGGAGTTGAGAGCATCGTCGGCGCGGGGTTGAGGCTGACATGAGGTTTCCCGTCGGAGCTCCGCATTCCAATTGAAGAAGCTTAGAGTGACAGTCAGGACTATGTGCCGAGGAACAGTTCTGAGAATATGACACAAAAAAAAAAAAAAAAAAAAAAAAAAAAAAAAAAAAAGCATAAAATAGATACAGAAAGGTATTGATCGAAAATCAGAATAATAAAAAGAAGAATTAGAATAAAAAAAATAAAATAATTCTTTGATACGGTACTATTTGTTGGTATCAATATCAGCCAAAAAAAAAAAAAAAAAAAAAAAAAAAAACTGATTATTTACGTAGAATGATGAATAAGGTTGCAGTGACCTAGAAAAATAAAAGTAAACTCCAGCGTGTCCAGCCTTTGCAATGCACGATGACGCCAATCCCGTTCCCCATAAATGTATCATATCCGACATGCTAATCCGAATCAACGATCAAAGCCAAACACGCAACATAGAACTGGCAGGGAATGTCTAGAACTCCATGCTTTCGGTCTTGACCTCAGTCGCATCGTCGGCCCTTTCCCGTTTGCCCGTCCGCTCTTCTTTCAGAAGCCCGGCAATGAATGAGCGGAAGTAGTCGACGTACGGCTTCAGACTCGTCTTTTCATAGTCTTGCAGTCTGCGACTCCCTCTAGCATCAGATTCGGGTACACTGCCTTCGCCATCCGCCACTTCCGGACCTGCATTATTGCTCGGATGCTCCGCATCCCATGCATCGATCTCCGCAAGTAGCTCCGTAACCGTAGGCACCGAGAGAGGGTCAAATTGTTCCGCCTTTCGGGCGTCTATCGGAACACACACGCGACCAGTGCCGGGGTGAATGACAAATGGACTCTTGAGCAAGTGGATCATCTTTTTGCTGACCTCGGAATCCAGGCGTGGATAGGTGTACTCGAGAACAATGTCTTGCTTTGCATCTCGCAGTGTAGTAGGGTTGAGAGTGCTGCTCTTGCCTGTCTTGGCCAAGGCGTCGATATCCGCCCATTTATTGGCACTGCTGCGGTCGGGTGATGACTCCCATCGTTTCCGTAAGGATTCATTCAATCCCTTATCGGGCAACAATGAAAGAATACGTTGCGTCTGCTCGGAGCTGGAGAAGGTTTCCTGGTCCACCAGCGTAGTTTGAGCGAAGTATGGTTTTAGTATCTCCAGACTGCGAGACATGTGGGGATGCAGAGGCCGCTTGAGGTTGACCCGCTTTCCGCTCGAATTTCCTCCTCGGATGACATCTAGGTAGCCCGCGATGGCTCTTCTCCTATCATCTGGAAGGCTGCGCGCACGGGGGTCGCAAACCCAGGCGTGGGCACCACGACGACCAGAATAGACCCATAATATGTGCTCGAAACCGAAATCTTCACGTAGCGCTGTGTCGACGACTTTCATTGCCATAGTGACAAAGGCCCAGCACTTGCTACAAATGTTTGCCTTTTCGCAACAGGATCTGATGTCATCGTAATCCGTAAGATCGATATCGAATACCAACTCTTTGGCGATCGGCTTCATCTGGCCACCTCGGAGCGTCTTCCTGTCGCGCGGGTTCGTGTTGTAGACAGGCCCAATTTCAAACCGAGAGGGGTTCATTTTCAGGATATCTTTACGGAACCTATGATATGGAAACGTTAGGACCTTGGAAAATGACAATAGCGGACTCTTGGACTCACAGATCCGCAGTTGCATATGACTGGTACCGCAGGTAGGCATCGTTTTGGAGGGTAAGGGCGAATTCACGGTTTCCGAAGTCTGGGGATGGGACAATGCCATGGTTCAACCATTGGAAAAGATAGCGAAAAGGAAAGAGGCGTTGATAGAACGCAAGCATTGTATCGGTATCAACCTGGGGCCCCGGAGCAGCAGCAGGTCTGTTTAATCTCAGTTAAATTAATGCTCTCTTTCACGAGATATCGCAGCATGTATACTTACTCCGGAGCAGATGAAGCACCATTTTGCGTCTCTGGTGCACTAGAGGCTGGGTATTCATCATCGTCATCATCGTTAAATAGGTCTTCAAGTTTCACTCCTGCGGCTGCATTGTCCTCCTGGTTTGCCGATGCTGTCTCCGTAGGAGGAGCGTCAGGCATAAGTTCATCATCCTTGCGATCGGCAGATGAGTCCTGCGAAGATACTGAGTGAGGCATTCCGAATGTTGACGTAGTGCTAAGCTGTTGTGAGTTGCATGAGCGCTTCAATCCACATCCATTATCGTCAACTCATTAAACCCACGCGTCGCGACGCGTTGCCCAACGCGATCGGCGTGTTCCCCGGCAGCCCTAAGCCCTACCTCATCTGCTGCTTCGAGGCGGAAGAAGCTACATATCACGTGAGTGGTTACGTCCGCAAACGGCGATTACTCACCAAGGTACCGAAGTATGGCCTCAACGACGACAACCACTTCTTTGCCTGCTACAACCTCATCATCTTTGGGTCCACCCCTGCGTGATCAGGAACACCCTGGCAGAGATTTGGCCGTTTGCGGTATCTGCTGACGCTGTTCCATTGGACTTTTCTCGTAATCAAAGGTGGATGACGTGTATACTGCCCTGACCCATGAGGATGAACTTCGGGCCCTATGGAACCTGAAGGCTCTCATCAACACACTGAATCTATCTATATCCTCTAGTTGGCCTTCTTAGCCTGATCCGGCTGCACCATCTTGTTGACTCATTGATGTCTTAGCTGATTCAGCCTGACTCGAGCCACTCCAGTTGGATCCTTGTGTGGTAACAACTGGTCTCCCCCAAAGTGAGCTCAAGGGTATCCCCCATGCTTGCCAGTTACTCTCAGACGATACCCACAGCAGCCTCAACATGCTGTGGAGGCATCCCCAGCTGCTCGATTTGATTCTTCTCTTCCTTGTTTTCTTTTACTCTGAAGTTCCAGGGTTTCCCCCACCGCCCTGAATTTTATCCATGAAATGCAACGTTGCAGAAGTACCCATTGAGTATCCACCATCCGGGGTAGCCCATCGAAGCCCGCGGATGTTTTGGGAGTCTATGGGACCCTACAGCTTGAGGGACAGCAGAGTACTCAATATTGCTAAGGACGTATGCCGTCAATGCCATGGTAGTTGTCATCTGTGAGAATGGAGCATAGTCAGCCGCTCGTTAACCCTTCATTCTATAGGTGGTGTTCACCAGCTTTACGTAGGGCTATCGGTGCGAGGAAGTTCCTGTGATACAGAAAAATAATTTTCTATTGGAGTGATGACGCCACC